CTGCACAGAAACCAAGGCACACAACCAGCTGACCCACCCAGGCACACCAGGGAAGATTTCTTAGTGACTGCTTTTCTTTCCATTAATGGGCCATACTTTTCTTTGCATATCTTTTTTAGGGGGAAATTTTTTTGAAATTTATATTTTTTTTTGTTGAAAAGTGAATTAAAAATAATATAATGTGGAAACTCTGGAAATCAGTTTCCCATCTCTCAAGAGTTTGTTGTTGTGGCTGTTTGTTTAGTCACTTTACTGAACTAATTCTGCCAAATATGTATTCTTCCTCATGTGTGACAGAAATCTCTGCTCATTTGGCTTAGTAGTTAGCTAATGGTTGGACAGAAGTTTCCTTAAATGCCTGAAACCAAGAAATCTCTCAGCCTTTTTTACCGAGGGGCTCTTTCAGTGTGTTGGGACATGCCCTCAATGTTCAGGCAGGCAGTTTGCAGCTCTAACTTAGCCTCACCTTGCTTGCTCAGAACCTCAAGGTTGTCCACAGGTAAGAGCTTCCATACCATCTCAAATCTTTCCTGGACATGTGCACAGCTCTGCATGTGGCCTTTTGCATTCTCAGGAATATGTTGAAGCTTTTTAAACCTTTTATGGACATCTTAGTCCCAACCCTTCTTTTTAAGAATTTTGGTCAACTTGTTGTTTGTCCTAATTGTTAGAGCCACCTCAGGTAGCTACCATGTTATAAAGTGGCTGCTGATTATTTCTGACCAAGGCCCCAGGAAGAAGGCTGTTTGAAGGCAAGCTCTGCCTTAGGTCAAATAAAGGGAAGGTTTCTGGTGGGATTTTCCAGTGACTTGTCCAAAGGCCAATGACAATTACCTGGGAATGGAGCTTTGGAGGAGATACCACCCATTTTATTTTCTCTGATGGCTGCTAGGCTACTGGTTTTCACCATGATTTTGGGGACTGTTGATTTACAAAGCTCCCAGGAGCGAGGGAGAAGGAAATAAAATAAGGCAATCAAGAATACTATATGGGGGAGTACATGGGTGATTCAGTCAATTAAGCATCCAGGTCTTGGTTTGGGCTTAGACCATGATCTCATGGGTCATGAAATCAAGATACCCACCCCCACCCCCAGCCCCACCCCTATTAGGCTCAGAGTTCAGTGAGGAGCCTGCTTGAAGATTCTCTCCCTTTGCCCCTCCCTCCACTCATGCACTCTCGTGTGCATACTCTCTCTCAAATAGATAATGAATAAATCTTAAAAAAATAAAAATACTACATGGGTAGGAGTGACTGGCTTCATCAGTAGAGCATGAGACTCTTGATCTTGGGGTTCATGAGTTCAAGCCTCATGTTGATTGTAGGGCTTACATTAAAAGAAAAATAAACCATATGAGTTATGTGATTTATGTTTTAACTTTTTAAAGAAACTGTCAAACTATTTTCCAGAGTGGCTGTATCATTTTACATTCCCACTATCAATGCATTCCAGTTTTCCACTTCCTCCCCAATATTTGTTTATTGTCATTTTGGTTGTAACTATTCTAGTGGGTGTGAAATGGTACTTTTTTTTTTTTTGAGAAGTAAAACTGTATTTATAGATGATATGATCATCTATATAGAAAAGCCTGTGGAAACTGCAACAAAATTAACAGAACTAATTTGTAAGTTTATCAAGGTTGTGGGATATAAGCTCTATATAACAAAATTAATTATATTATGTATTGGCAATCAGCAATCAGAAATTAAAATAAAAAATACCATTAAACAGGAGTAACTGGCTTAGTCAGGAGAGCCTGTGACTCTTGATCTCAGGGTTCTGAGTTCAAGTCCCAGATTGGGTGAAAAGATTATTTAAAAATAAAATCTTCCTTTTTTTTAAAACATTTATTTATTTTAGAGAGAGCACAAGAGAGAGTACATTGGGAAGATAGGGGCAGAGAGAGGAGGAGAGATAGATTCTCAAGCAGACTCTGCACTGAATACAAAGCCCGATGTGAGGGCTCATCTCATGACCCTGAGATCATGATCTGAGCCAAAACCAAGAGTGGGACACTTAACTGACTGAGTCACACAGGCGGGCCAAAAATAAAGTCTTTTTTAAAAAGTAATTAAACAGCTTCAAATATAAGAAATGGGGAGAATCTGATAAAAGATATATAAAACCTACAAACTGAAAACTACTACACATTAAGAGAAATTAAAGAAGACCTAAACAAATAGAAATTCCCTATTTATGGAGGTCGTAGTATAATAGTGGAAGACCAAGGAGGAGGTAGTCAAACAAAGAGTTTTAGAAGTTGGGATTTGGAGAGTGCTTGGTCCTCAAGGATCACAAAGTTCCACATATAGTCATGGTGTTAGTTGTGGAAAAGAATGAGAATATTAGGCTATCAACCAGGTGGATCTTTCTGCCCTGTGTTTAAAGGACTGTGGGGGAGAGTGATGAATGTGTAGTGGGCAGAATATGTGAAGTGTGGTGTCTTGATGTGCTTTTCTATGTCAGTTTTTGGTCATATTCTTAGGTCTTGGTATGGTGCCTGGCATATAGTAGTCATCTAATAAAGCTTACAGAAATAAAAAAAAGTTGTAGATGGCACATTTAAGGTGGCTCATTACCCTCAAGTTAAATTATTCACCATTTATAGAGTAAGACAGGCAGAATAAGAGCCAATCCCAAAGACTTATAGGAGTAAACTGTATAAGCAAGGAAAGATCTTAGATTTCTGTCCCTGAGACATTTTCACCTGTGCTCTGACACTTTGCTAGTGATGCTTCATTCATTTCATAAAATTTTTAAATGCTTTCTTTGTTTTAGGGACTGTATTGGCCACTGGAGATATAGCTTGAACAAGACAGACATACATCTTGCCCTTGTGGACCTCACAGTCTAGTGGGAGTTATAGACAAGGAAACAGGCAATTAGTAATATGGCATGACAAATAATGCGATGAGGGAAGAGCAAAATGATGTGAGACTATATACAAGGAACATTTAATATAAACATCTAAGCTAAGACTCAGCCAAAGTGTTCTGGGTAGTTGGAACAGCATCAGCAAAATCTCAAACAAGAGATGAGACAAACTGTGGAAAATTGGGACATATCCTATAGGTTAGGGAAGGAAGGTTGAGGAAGTGAACAAGGGCCAAATTCTACAAGGCCTTAAAAGCCATTTTCAGGAGTTTCAAATTTGTCCTGCGGAATGGGGAATCCTTAAAGGATGTTAAGCAGAGAAGTGGCATGATCACACGTGATTTTTTTAACTTTAAAATTTTTTTAGTAATCACTACACACAGTATAGGGCTCAAACCCATGACCCTGAGATCAACAGTCACATGCTCTTCCTCCTGAGCCAACTGGGTGCCACACATGTGTGATTTTAAAATAGTATCGTGACTGCCTTTTGTCAACAGTGGATTGGAGGGCATCAGAATGAATTCAGGGAGACCAGTTGGCAATGTAGTAATTTTGGTGAGAGAGTTGAGGGGACTTGAACAAGGGACAAAAGTATGTATGGGAGCTGAAGGAGAAAGATATCTTGGTTTCTGGCTTGAGCTATGGGGCCAATGTTTGTTCCATCCACTGAGCTAAAAGACTGTTGAGAACAAATAGGTTTGGGGGAGAAGATGCAATCAGTTTTGGATTTGCTAAGTTTGAGGGGAATGTGAGTCAGCCTTGTTGGACTTCTTGTGGACTTCCACTCCTTGTGGAAATCAGGAGAGAGATCTTGGTTACAGATAGAAATTTGGAAATCATCAGTATATTGTTAGTTACTAAAGGTAGAAGAGTAGATGAGATTGAGATATAACAGCCATTAGGTGAGAAGAAAACCGAGAGAGTATGGTTTCCCCATAACAAGTGAAGAAAGTGGTCAAAAAAAACAAATGAGTATATATGATTGCCCAAGGAACATGATGTATGAGAAAAGAAAGGCTGAGGCCAGAATCCTACTTTTAAGAGATACATAGAGAAAGAGGAAATGCCACAGAAATAAGAGGGACTGGGAGAATTCTAGGCCCCAGAAATCAGGAAGGGAGGAGTAGTTGGCAACATTTTTACACTAAGATATCAAGTAAGTTGTGTATTGAGGGGTGTATATTGGATGTAGCAACAATGAAGTTCATGATGATTCTGGTTAGGGTGGTCTAATAGAAAGTAGAAGCAAAAGACAGATTATATTTAAGGACTTAGTGAGAGTGGTGAGAAAGAGAAGACTTGGTAGAGAGAATGTCTTCAAGAGGTTTAGCTGTGAAGGTTTGAGAGGGCAGTTAGAATGACGTGGGGTTAAAGGAAAGTTAACCTGTTTTTCATTAAGTTCTTTTGATTACTTTTTGAGAATGTGCTTTACCTTTTTAGTTTTATGTTTGTTTTCTTGGCTGCATTTCGTTTTTTATTTTTTATTTTTTTTTTTTAAAGAATTTTTTTTAATTTATTTATTTATGATAGTCACAGAGAGAGAGAGAGGCAGAGACAGAGGCAGAGGGAGAAGCAGGCTCCATGCACCGGGAGCCCGATGTGGGATTCGATCCCGGATCTCCAGGATCGCGCCCTGGGCCAAAGGCAAGCGCGAAACCGCTGCGCCACCCAGGGATCCCTGCATTTCGTTTTTTAAAAAAATATTTTATTTACTTGAGAGTGAAACAGAGAGCAAGCAAGAAAGCACGGTGGGAGATAGGGGAAGGGAGAGGGAGGGGCAGAGTGGAGAGACAGGGACAAGTGGACTCTGCGCTGAGCATGGAGCCCAATGCAGGGCTCAATCTCACCACCTTGAGATGGTGACCTGAGCCAAAATCAAGAGTTGGAGGTTCAAACCAACTGAGCCACCCAGGAGCTCCTGGCTTCATTTCATTTTGAGACGATGGATGGGGCAAGAATTGAAACTGTTTAGCTTTTGCATTGTGTAGTTAATCGTTTGCATGTAGTAAGAAAATAGCTTTACTGGCTTAATTAGTTAGATTTTTCTCTATATAATTTTTGAGTGATCCTCTAGATAATGAAACCTCATTTTAATGTATTGCATCCTCTGTTTGTTTTTTAGATCATTCATCGAGATATAAAACCTGAGAATATTTTAGTATCCCAGTCAGGAATTACTAAGCTCTGTGATTTTGGTTTTGCACGAACTCTAGCAGCTCCTGGGGACATTTATACGGACTATGTGGCCACACGCTGGTATAGAGCTCCAGAATTAGTATTAAAAGATACTTCTTATGGAAAGTATGTATATTTTGGGGTCCTGTCTGACCTTTCTTGGTCATCCTTTTTTTCCCCTTTGTGCATCTGTCACCCCTTCTACTGACCCTCTGCCTTCTGTTTGTGGATTAGGGATAAGAAAGGGACATGTCTAAAAAACAAGGGACCCTGTAGGCACCTGCCATGCCAGATAATGATGTTACCACACTTGCTCTGTACCACTGAGTGGCCCCAACCCCAGGTGATCTATGCAGACATCCCTCAAGTTATATCCAAGCTTGCTTTAAACTGTGCCCCACCCTTGGCAGAGTTGCCTCCTTTGCTTATCTTTAGCCTCTACATTCTGAAAAGATTTAAAAACCATTTACCTCACTCTGCCACTGTTACCATAGGAACTGCCACGTTTCTTATTTTCTGGAATATGGTACCCTCTTTACAAAATCTGGTAAATAATTTTTAAAGTGTACTGTTCTAGATGCCTTAAAAAAGTATCATGGCCTCAGTCTATTGTGAAACAGTAGAAACAGTATATGAAATCGCAATCTAATATACGAATAACAAATCTTGAAGTACATAAAGGGACTAAGTGATTGAAATTATTACAATAAATAGGAGAAATAAGTGAATAATTTTCACACACTTTTCTTAGAAACCATTATTCTGTTTTGACAATGGTATCTAACTTTGGGGCACCTGTGTGACTCAGTTGTCATTAAGCATTTGCCTTTGGCTCAGATCATGATCCTGGGGTCCTGGAATTGAGCCTGGCATTGGGCTCCCTGCTCAGTGGAAAGCTTGCTTTTCCCTCTCCTCCTGCTGCTACCCCTGCTTGTGCGTGTGCTCTCTCTCTCTCTGGGAAATGAAGAAATAAATAATCTTTAAAAAAATAGCAAGGGGATCCCTGAGTGGCTCAGTGGTTTAGCACCTGCTTTCAGCTCAGGGTGTGATCCTGGAGTCCTGGGATCGAGTCCTGCATTGGGCTCCCTGCATGGAGCCTGCTTCTCCCTCTGCCTATGTCTCTGCTTCTCTCTCTCTCTCTCATGAATAAATAAATAAAATCTTAAAAAAACCCCACAAAATAACAAAAATACTTCCTAATTAAAGGTAGGTTCTTTGAGAATAGACATAATCTCTTGTAGTCCACAGAGCCAAAATTGGTGACTTGTACATGGTAAATTTGGATTCTATAAGATTTCACATTATTTTTGAAATAAATTTGTGGTGTGTGTTTGTTTATTTATTTATTTTTTAAAGATTTTATTTATTCATGAGAGACAGAGAGAGAGAGGCAGAGACACAGGCAGAGGGAGAAGCAGGCTCCATGCAGGGAGCCCGACATGGGACTCAATCCCGGGTCTCCAGGATCACGCCTTGGGCTGAAGGCAGCACTAAACCACTGAGCCATCTGTCCTGCCACTGTGGTGCATATTTTAAAAAATCCTTTTATTGAAAAACAGCACCCAGAAAAAAAGATCATACAACAAATGTATATAGCTTCACTATGAGATAAAAAAATAGAATTTTGGGGCAGAGGGATGGGTGAAATAGGTGAAGGGGATTAAGAAACATTTATCATGATGAGCAATGAATAGTGCATAGAATTCTCTAATCATATGCTTGAAACTAATACAGCATTTTATATAAATTATACTTGCATTAAAAAAATAGAATTTTTCTTCCTCTCTGAAAACCCTCCATGTACCGTATTCCAATTATATCACTCCCTTATCCCAAAAGTAACCATGATGTTGACTTTTATTATATTCAGTTCCTTGCATTTCTTAATAGTTTTATCTACTTATCTACATGTAGTTTAGCCTTTTTTTAATGACAGCTTTTTTTGAGATATGATTCACATACCATAAAATTCACCCATTTAAATTGTACAATTCAGTTGTTTTTAGTACATTCACAAAGTTGTACAATCATCACTACATTACATTTTAAAACATTTTTATCACCCCAAAAGAAACCCTATATCTGTTAGCAGTCACTTTCCCTTTCCTGCCAAGCCTTCCAGGCTGAGGTAATCACCAGTCTACTTTTATTGTCTATGGTTTTGCCTATTCTGGACACTTCATATAAATGAGATTATGCAAAATCTGTTTTGGGGGGACCAACTTCTCTCACTTTGAATATTGTTTTGGGGGGTTCATCCATGTTGTTGCATGTATCAGTACTTCATTTCTTTTTATGGCTGAATAATATTCACCCTATGGATTATACCACATTTTATTTATTTATTCATTAGTTGATAGACATCTTGATTATTTCTGCTTTTTGGCTTTGATGATTAATGTTGAGAACATGTGTAAACATATCTTTTTTTTTAAAGATTTTATTTATTTATTCATGAGAAACACGAGAGAGGCAGAAACATAGGCAGAGGGAGGAGCAGCCTCCCTGCGGGGAATGTGATGTGGGACTCGATCCCAGGACCCCAGGATCACGACCTGAGCTGAAGGCAGACTGGTTATTGAGCCACCCAGGGATCCCTTTGTGTACATGTTTTAGTGTGGACGTGTGTCTTCATTTCTTTTCGGTGCATCTCTGGGAGCTGGAATTATGGGTCTTGTGGTAGCTCTATGTTTGATCTTTTGAGGAGCTGCCAGACTGGTTTCCACAGTGTCTGGATCGTTTCATATTCCTGCCAGCAGAATGTAGGGACTATGATTTCTTCATATCCTTGCCAACACTTACTGTTACCATTTTTTATGGCCACCCTAGATTTTCTCCTCCACCCCCCAGGCATCCTTTTTAAAATACGCTTTTTATTTTGGATTAATTTTACATTTATAGAAAAGTTGCAAAGATAGTAGAGAGAATTCCCATACAGCCCTCACCTAATTTCTGCTTTACCCAACATCATAATCTTACATTACTGTGGTATATTTGTTAAAACTAGTTTTGCTTTTTTATTTAAGTAAGATCTGCTATGTTTTTTAAATTTCCTCTATCCCTTTATTTTTCTTACAACTTAACCTGTTGGAGAACCCAGATCATTGAGTTTCTAAGTCTGAAATTTTTTTTTAATTTTTAAATTTTTTTATTTATTCATGAGAGACACAGAGACAGAGAGGCAGAGACACAGGCAGAGGGAGAAGCAGGCTCCATGCAGGGAGCCCGACTCGATCCCGGGTCTCCAGGATCAGGCCCTGGGCTGAAGGCGTCGCTAAGCTGCTGAGCCACCCAGGCTTTTTAAAAAAAAAAAAAAAAAAAAAAAAGCTTTGTTGAGGGATCCCTGGGTGGCTCAGCAGTTTAACACCTGCCTTTGGCCCAGGGCATGATTCTGAAGACCCGGGATCAAGTCCCACATTGGGCTCCCCACAAGGAGCCTGCTTCTTCCTCTGCCTCTCTCTCTCTCTCTGTGTCTCTCATGAATAAATAAAATCTTCAAAAAAGAAAACAAAACTTTGTTGAGATAAAATTCATGCACAATACAATTCATTTAAGATATACAATTCAATGGTTTTTAGTATATTCAGAGATATATGCAATATCACCATAATTTTTGAACATTTTCATCATCTAAAAGAAACCCTGTATCCTTTAGCTATTACCTTTCCATATCCCCACCCCTTTTGTTCTAGCCATGATCAACCACTAACCTACTTTCCGGCTTTATAGATTTCCCTATTCTTGGGATCCCTGGGTGGCGCAGCGGTTTGGCGCCTGCCTTTGGCCCAGGGCGCGATCCTGGAGACCCAGGATCGAATCCCACGTCAGGCTCCCGGTGCATGGAGCCTGCTTCTCCCTCCCTCTGCCTGTGTCTCTGCCTCTCTCTCTCTCTCTCTCTGTGTGTGTGACTATCATAAATAAATAAAAAAATTAAAAAAAATTAAAAAAAGATTTCCCTATTCTGGATTTCATATGGATGGAATTATATAATATGTATAGTCTTTTGTGATTGGCTTTTTTACTTAGCATAATGATTTCAAAGTTCACCCTAGTTGTGGCACATATTAGTGCTTCCTTTCCTTTTTTTTCTTTTTTCAAGATTTTATTTTTAAGTAATCTCTACACCCAGTGTAGAGGGGGCTTGAACTCACAATTCCAAGACTAAGAGTCACATGCTCTTCTGACGGAGTCAGACAGGCAACCCCTTCCTTTCCTTTTTTTATATCCCAATTATTTCCCCATTATTTGGATAGATCACTTTTTTTAAAAAGATTTTATTTATTTATTCATAAGAGACAGGCAGAGACCTAGGCAGAGGGAGAAGCAGGCTCCCTGTGGGAAGCCTGATGCGGGACTCGATCCAAGGACGCTGGGATCACGACCTGAGCTGAAGGCAGACACTCAACCTCTGAGCCTTCCAGGTACCCCGATAGATCACTTTTGTTTATCCATTTGTCCATTGATGGACATTTGAGTTGTATTCACTTTTTGGCTATTATGAATAATGCTGCTCTACATATTTATGTACCAGTTTTTATGCAGACAAGTTTTAATTTCCCTTGGAGTAGAATTAATAGGTTTTGTGGTAATCTTATGTTTAATCATTTGAGACACGCCCAGCTGTTTTCCCAGTGTCTAAATCATTTTAAAATCCCACCAGCAGAGCATGAGAGTTAGTTTCTCTGATATCTTCATCAACATTGTTATTATCTGAGATGGATTCTAGTCATCCTCTTGGGTGTGAAGTGGTATCTCATTGTGGTTTGATTTGCATTTCCTTGATGACTAATGATGAGCATCTTTTCATGTGCCTATTGGCTATTTATATATCTTCCTTAGAGAAATGTCTGTTCAGATCCTTTGCCCATTTTTAAATTGTATTGGCTTTTTATTATTGAGTTGTAAGAATTCTTTGTATATTCTAGATTCAAATCCTTACCAGATAATACATTTTAAATTTTTTTCTCTCATTCTCCCTAATTTCTCTAGCCAGAACCTCCAGCACAAAGTCAAAAAGAAGTGAAGGGCACCTGGTGATTCTTGATCTTTGTGTTGTGAGTTTGAGCCCCATGTTGGGTTAGAGATTACTTAAAAAAACAAACTTTAGGGATCCCTGGGTGGCGCAG